AAAATATTATTTATAACTAGTGTATCATGGACAATACAAAAAAAAAAAATATAGATGTAAGCCTTAAAATAAATTATATAATGATAAATTATTTTTTGATACAAAATTTGATTAAAAATTCAATATAATGGTAATACAATGTCATCATTGGTATGTAATATCACCCACTAATGGTAAATAAATGCATAAAAAATGAATCTCACATGTCAAATGTAACTAACAATCTAATAAATTTCATATCTTTATAGTGAGATTACTTATACTTACATATCACTAATAATGATATCGTCGTTACATTCAAAAAATTTCATAGCTAATATAGTTTATTTATAATAGTCTCTTCATTTTCAATCAAAACAACTATTATTGTTTTCATAATTTTTAAAATGTCATTGACATTTCACTCTAATAATATTTTTGTAATTTTTTATTTAAATTTTTTTTTATGTTTGCAAAAAAAAAAAATCCAAAATCCAGGGGACACGTGACCCCCCTGGTCACATGCTGCCTTCGCCCCTGAGTACGCACCATTTATATTGTTTGGATATTAATTTTCAAATAAAAATAAAATGTTCACATATCAACTTGTAAATAAAAATCAATTGTTCAAACAAAAATCTCGTTTAAACATTTGTATTTTGTTCAGAAGTTGATATCAAAACTACACAAATGGTGTGTTCCAAGACAAAGTGTCATTCTATTTGCACACCACATTTTGTCTTAATACACACTATTTGTGATTTCCGGATATCAACCTCTGAACAAAACACACATGTTTGGATATCTAATGCTAAACAAAATACAATTGTCAGTATATCAACTATTAAACATGATTTTTGTTTGAATAATTAATTTTTGTTCAGAAGTTAATATTAGAATATTTTGATTTTATTAAAAAATTGATATCCGAACAATACAAATAATTTTTATTTGTTTATTTAATCAGATTTTATCTTTGTTTTTGTAACAAAATAAAATCTGTGGTTTTATTTATTTATTATTATTTCGTGTTTGATTTTTGTAATCAAACAAATTCTCTCCTTTTTATCTATTTCTTTTATTCTTGTTGTTGTTTTGTACACAACAGAATTTAATCTGTTTAAATACAGTGAAGATTGCCTAACATTTATAACATCAGAGAGAACTCCATCTTAGACGTGTGGCCTGAGGTGCCTTCCTTTCAGATATTTGTAAAGGACGGGAATGGAAAATCATTAATTCTTAATGTTCACGAACATGACATGAAGAATAAGATTTTCAGTAAGGCGGACATGCTGGTTGATGCCCATTATCTTGTGTTTGGTGGAAGAACTTTGGAGGATGACCGGGGTTTGGCTAGTTACAGTATCAAGAAACTTTCCACTCTCCAAATGCGTCTCCACCACACCTACCAATCGCCAAAAAAAGCTATGATCCAAAAATTATTGAAGAAACCCGGTGAAGTTGTATTTCAATTGCCTTTGCAGGATCACTTTTCTCTGGCCGATGTGCTATCAGGACGCATACAATGAAGATGGTTTCTTTGTAAGTACTTTAAGCATGTTTTAGTGCTTCATGTTTTGTAAAGTTATCAGCTGAAAGGTTTCTAATCCTTTGCATATAAAGATCGGCAGTGTAATTTCCTTTGTATCCATTTTGTGACTATCTGTTTCAAGTGCTAACCCTTTTTGGACATGTTGCAAGTACATAGCAATATGGGTGTGGAGAAAAGTTACTCCAATGTGAATATATGATGTTGCTTTACTTTCTATGGTTCTTTGTTCAATACGGTCTTGTACTCCTTTTCATACTTATGACCTTTTTGTATGGAAATGCTATCAATAGAAGAATCCCGAAGGGGTTGGCCAAGCAGTAAAGAATTGAGAATATGATTCAATATCTTGAGTTTGAGTCATTGTAAAGGGTCACTAGAGATTAGGGTTTTATTTTCGTTTTTCTGTTGGATCTAAGCAGACAGTACTCTGTTTTTCAGGTTTTTCATCTTAGTTTGATGTCTATTTGGCAAGTTGGAAATTGATAATTGTGATGAATTGACGAAACCTTATTTAAACACTATGCTATGTTTGCCATCTCATTCTGGATGCGTGTTGTATATGCTATTCCGAAGTCATCTTTTAATCGACTAATGAGTTATTTGATGATAGTTCTACTTACCTCCTTATTGTGAAAGGTTATGTTTGGCATGAGCTTTTTTAGCAATTTTAGTTATAAAAAGATAAAATAAATTAAAAAGTTAATAAGATAAAATGTCACATCCAAATCATAATTATTTTATTTTTTCTCTCAAAAAAATCAAAAAAATCAAAAAATCAATCTCAAATGAGGTTTTTTAACCACAGGCTAAAAAAGCTAAAAAATAAAAAAATTAATCTACATTCCAAACGAAGGCACAGATTAGATTGGTCTGAGTGGAGTTGGGTAAACGAATCCATGGAAAAATGGATTAGTGAAATCTAGGTTGACAAACTATTCCTTTTAATTTGCTCCCTTGAGCAATCTATTCCTGATTTTATGATATCAAATTTCAAGGTGAAATGAACGTACCACAAGGTCACAATATTCGTACGAGGATTTTGTACAAAATTTTATTTATATAATATTATTGGTAAAAAATTAATGCTGAAGAAGATCCAAGGTGCTGAACTCAATTGTTTTATGTACACTTTTTCTTGTGTTTTGCAGAGTTATATACGTTTGTTTAATTGGATAATATTTAATTGAAAATTTTGTGTATACTATTGATTTCATCATCTAGGCAAGAGAAACAAAATTGAGTGCAATATATGGGTTAGTTTAACCTACAGGCATTTTAAAATAATAATAATCTCCCTTTAAAATGATTATTTTTATGATACATACTTTTTTTAAAAAAAGTAAAATATATGGCAGTTATATCTAAAGTAAGTAGTATTGGTTATAAATTAAAGTTGTGTTGGTTATGATTGTGAATGATGGTCAAATTAAAGTAGCGTCCATCTCGATAATGAGATCAGTGTTTGGTGGATGTTGTACTCTTGGTTATTACTAAGGTCAAGTTTGGGAACTTGTAAAAAAATTAAAAAGTCAAAAAATTATTTAAAAAGTTAAAAAGTTAACGCTATTCATCAAAAGTCAACAATTACGGCTACACAACTCCCAATTCGAATTTTTCCTTACAAATTAATTTTTACAATTTTTTATTACACACTTTTTCATAAAAAGTCAAAAAGTTAACCCAAACATCCATATTTTCAACCTCAATTTTTTAGTCTAAAAAGACAAAAAATGCACTTATTTAAGACACACCAGACAACTTCTAAAAGTGTTCATAAGGCATTGTGGTGGGTAAAAAAAGGAAGCTAGGTCCAATTAAGAGTCCATATAAACCCAAAACTAATTAGGCCCAAAAGGAATGCAATTTGAGGTATACAACAAGTGGGCTACTACTTAGACTGGCATTGACGAGAGGAAGTACCGTCTGATCAACTTTCATCAGATGATCTGACATTAGACCATCTCCAACGGTGAACCAAAATTGATATCAGATTTAAATTTTGATGAAAAATATACTTTTCCATGCTCCAACCGTTGCATCAAATGAATATCAAAATGAGAAATCAGCAAAAAAAGTATCAAACTGAGAACAAGTTCCGGATTTTACCAAATCACTGTTACTGACCGTTGAAAGAGATACATCGGTTGCCCACCCGGTTGCCCGGCCGGTTGACCAACCGGTCAACCGGTTCCCTTTGAAATAACTAGGTTCAAACCGGTCAAAAAAGGTTCAAACAGGTATAAAAAAAAAAAAAAAAAAGAAAATTGCCCAAACCGGTCGACCGGTTGGTCAACCGGCCGGTCGACCACCTCCCCAATTCTGCTTTGATGCTCACCGTTGGAGCGTCTCGTATCAAATTGAAAAAATCGTCATTTTTTTTATCAGATTTGATGAAAAAAGAAGTTAAGCGTTGGAGATGCTCTTATCATAGTAGTTCGATGTACACACATCTAACAACGATCTACAATAAAGACAACTTGGCCATTAGCACAAGTGACATCTGACAAAAAAAGGACCATCTGATCAAAAAGAAAATCAACGATCACAATGAGTTCCTAATTACCTATAAAATCATAGCCTTGTCCTAAAATATATGCAAACCAAAAATGAAACAAATGCTGACATGAAATGAGTGTTTGGGAAGTAAGTTTTTATGTAGGTTTTTTTAATTGTAGGATATTATTGGAGATATTTTTTTTTGTGTTTGGAAAGATAGTTGAGTTTTTGTGGTTAGATGTGATGTTTGTGAAAGAAAAAATGAAATGATTATGAGGTTTAATGTGATATTTTGTTTGGACTTGTTTTTTTTTTTTATTTTGCAAAAAGTTTATCTTTTAGTGAAAAAAATCAAAAAAAAAAAATCCAAAAAACATTGTTGCCAAACACCGCCGAAATCCAATCCTATAATTGTATCTCATGAAACAAATATGGCCCAAGAACATTTTCAATTCTTTACTTAAATTTGGTGAAAATGGATCAATCCATTCGTCAAACTTATATCAAATCAAATTTTCTTAAATTAAAAAAATTCATCAAATGAGAGATGAATCAAATATTTCATAAAATTTCAACAACAATTTTTTTTTTTTTTTTTTCACTTTGATGAAATTGTTGAAAAAATGAAGAATTGGAGATCAAATTTTTTTTTTTACCTGAATTGATTAAAAGAGGTTTTTTTTAAGGTATGTTAGGTATTTAAAAAAAAAAAAAGGATTGATTCTCACCACTGGGGTGACTTATAGCAAGTCAAGTATTGTAAAACAAATTTTATAAAAAAAGATGAACGCTTTTTTAAGATATGTTAGGTATTTTTTCTTTTTAAAAAGTGATGGCTAGGTTTTTTTTTTTTTTTAAAAAGGAAAAATTAGTCTAGGGTCCCTCCCCCGCTTTTCGTAATGGAAGAGATCCACAAAATTATTTTTTGATGTCTAAGGTCCCTAAACATATATCAGAGAAATTTAACTCTTTGCCCGCGATTCCTCTCTCTCTCTCTCCCCTACAACCAAATGAACAAAAGCTTCAAGATCTTCGTCTACCCTACCCTCAAATCCCACCCCTTCGCCAACGTCCTCCTCCTAGAACCTTACGCTAATCAATCTGTTTTGCAACAATCTCAAGGGTCCAATCCCTTCGTTCATCGGAGATCTCCCGAACTACTACAGCAAAAATGGGTATTCCAAAGAAGCTCATAATCTGCCTCTTCCTGCCAACAACAATGGCAATCCAAACCACCACAGCTCTCATGCTCTACACACGAACCCCCTCTGGGACCTAATGCTCCCACCAGATGACCCATTTTACATCCTCGAAGAAACCCCTCTCTCCTTCCCCAAATCAATCGAAACCCTAGCTCTCGCTCGCTGCGATTGGAAAGAAATCCCCATATCCCACGTGATCACGCTTGACGTTCCGGGGCTAACAAAGGAAGATATCAAAATCACGGTGGAGAAGAACAGGGTGTTGAGGTTGGTGCCTGAGTCACTTGTTTACAAAAGGTACTGGTGCAAATATGTGAATTTCAGTTTGGAGACTTTAGATTTTTCTCATTTTTTGTATGCATTGACATTTAGCATGTGGTATGAGAGTTTTGTAATGTGGCACTATTTTTTTGAATATTGTAGTTTGAACTTCAATCATTTCAGATATCTGGTGCACTTAAAGTTTAATATTTACTTTTATAATTAATGTAAACTACTCATTTGGCTTTACTGGTGCGAATTACAATTCTACTTTTCTTCAAGATATATGTATTCACAACAAATCTTCCAGCAAAGGCTTGCAAAGAGAGAGGGTGGAACCACAGACAGAAGCCAAGACATTGCTCACTTACAGGAGTTTTATAAGCATTATAGGGAGAAGCATAATATAGACAAGTTACGGGAAGAGAAAATACAGTTGAGGGAGTCGGGTGCTTTCAGTGGCAACCATACAGAGAAAATTATGCTCTAGAGAAAATTCTCTCAACCACATTAACAAACAATATTGAACTCGGTACCAAAACATCAGAGAAATTGTCTAGTCTTTCTAGAATTTCTCTAGATTAGAATTTTCTGTGGATGTAAATTTGTGTGAATTTTCTCTGGATTTCTGGTTTTGTATTACAGTTTTGTTGTGTGTTATTGTTGTTATTGAAGGAGCTTGAATTGAATTGCAGTGGTTGTATTGAAAATGGATTTAATGTGGATTTTAAAGGGATTTTCTCTAGTTCGGTAAAAAATACAGAGAAAATTTTGATCCAGAGAAAATTCCCTCAACCACATTAATAAACAACATTGCATCCAGTAGCAAAACTTCAGAGAAATTCTCTAGTCTTTCCAGAATTTTTTTGGATCAGAATTTTCACTGGATGCGGAATTTGTGTGAATTTTCTTTGGATTTCTAGTTTTGAATTATAGTTTTGTTGTGTGCCATTGTTGTTATTGAAGGAGCTTGAATTGAATTGCAGTGGTTGTATTGAAATGGCTTGGGAAGTCTAGAATTTATCAATTTTCTCTAGTTTGAAAATTGGTCAAACTGAACCCAGAGAAATTTAAATTTTCTCTGGATTGAACCCAGAGAAATTCTTTTGAAGTCCAGAATTTCTCTGGACTAATTTTCTCCGGACCAATTTTCTCTGGATCAACTTGAGGAACCTTAGATATTATGAAAATATTAAGTGTCCTTTATGCTGTAAAATCTTAATATCAGGAACCTTAAAAAAAAATTTCCAAAAAAAAATTGATTCTCACCATTGGGGTGATCAAGTCAAGTATTGTTAAACAAATTTAATAAAAAAAGATGAACGGTTTCAATCATTAATTTTTTTCCCATCAAATTTAAATTTGATAAAAAATACTAGCCAAATAAGTATCTCCAATCATTTTATCAAATATTTATCAAACCAAGACAAATATTTTTTTTTATCAAATTTTTCATTAAATTTAAATGTGATAAAAATTTAAAAAGATAAAACATTTCTAATGATTTTTGTTCCCATCAAATTTAGTGAAAAGATAAATTGAAGGTAAGAGGGATTTTGTTTTTAAAAAAAAAAATTAAAATATTTCATATTAAATTAAAATTGTAATCGAAATTCTTGAATAAATTTAATAAAATAGAAGGCCAACAGTTGACTATTTAACGGACACGCAACCGCGTGACACCCAACACCTACCAGAGATGACATTCATATCAATATTCATTAAATTATGAGATAGGAAAAAAAATACGAAAATTCAGCACATTTTTTATATTTTTTAAAAATCATAAAAAATAATAAAACATGTAGAAAAAATAAAATTTTTCTAAAAAAATAAAAAAAATTATAAAACATAAAAGTTGATTTTTTAACCTTTTTTAAAAAAAATTTCCCGAAAAAAAATATAAAAAAAATATTAAAAATAGAATTAATTTATTAATTTATTTAAATTATATTATTTTTTATATTTTTTTTAATGTATTTGCATAATAAGAAAAAAATTGGAAAAATTATTCCTACTAAAAAACTTATGTTCCCATAAGTCATGTGGGAAGTTTGTTGACACATTTACCTTCAATATTTGTTGTTAATATCATAAATAATAGTAAAACCATATATAGGAAATTGAATGTTACCATAGATCATATTTATATAAACGTAACGTAACGTGACACCTATGATCTATGGTAACATGCAATTTCTTACATAAACGTAATGTAACGTGACAACCATGGTCTTAAAAATCGGACCGGACCGACCGATTCAACCGGTTGAACCGGTGACCGGATAGGGTTCCGGTCCGGTCAACCCTCTTAAACCGGCCAATTGAAAAAACCGGGCTATTTTTTGAAAATATTTTCTTTCTTTCTTTCTTACTTTCTTTCTTTTATGCAATCAAGCTAAGGTCACTCAGTCTATGGATCATCTAATTTATCAAAGATTATCACCAACATGCATATTAGCTTCAAGTCTTAGCCCCACAGCACTGTGCTAATATGTTCAAAGTGATTTTCGAGGTAAACTAATGATAAACTCTCTATTTAGCCAAAGTAGAACGGACAAATGTAACATGACCTATCCTATGAAAAGTGGTCAAAAATTTGACTCTATCAATGATATTAATTGACTTCTGCATCATTCAATACTCAACATCAACTACACAGATTAGGCACTCATTCTACTTGAAAATCAAAAGCAATGCATCTATCTCAAGGTGAAGAACTTTGAAATTTTTACAATTTAAATACAATACCTTTCCTCCCCCGGAACTTAAATGTCATATTGTTCTCAATGGGCAAGTATTAAGAGAAATATTTAAGATTATTAAAATTTTTAATTTATAATTTTATTACTTATATTTTTATTTAAATATAATTTTAATATATTTATGACGTCACGGTTCGATTCCGGTTCAACCCAACCCGTCCACCCGATCATTTTTCCGGTTCACTCACCGGTCCGGTTTTTAAAACATTGGTGACAATTACATAAACGTAACATGATACCTATGATCTATGGCAACATTGAATGTTGCCATAAATTATATCTACATAAACGTAACGTAACGTAACGTAACGTGACACCTACATAAACGTAACGTGACACTTATGAAACGTATTTATATGAAACGTACCCAAAAAATAACGTGTCTTTTCGTTACCATAGATCATATTTATATGAAACGTAACGTGACACCAACATAAACCAGCAACATTTTCACATTCAATTTACAAAAATAAAAACTCATTAAGTTTGCGAAACGTAACGTGACACGTTACGTTACGTTTATGTAGGTGTCACGTTACGTTACGTTTATATAGGTGTCACGTTACGTTACGTTTATGTAAGTTTCACATCACGTTACGTTTATGTAGGATCTTGTGGAATATATTCCTATCTAAATAGGATTTGAGACTCTATAAAAAATTATACAGGATTTAACCTAACATAAGGGTCTGAAAAATGACTTATAAATAAGTCTCCTCAAAAAATTAGTCTATAAGTCATACAAAAACAACCCTTAGTCAAAAGTTATCATAAATTATCACACAATTCTTTTTATTTTTTTATGTTTTTTAAAAAAATTAGTTAAAATAATCAATTTTTAAAAAGTAATAATTGAAGTTAGTTAGAATAATAAAAAAAAGGGTAAATCGGTTTAAGGTCCCTATCCAACTTTTAGTAATGGATTAGGTCCACAATGTGTTCTTTTGTAGCCTAAGGTCCCTCAATGTTATTTTAGAGTGTAAAATACCTGTCTTACCCTTATTTATAATATACGTTGTTTTGAATTTGGCAGCTAAAGATCATATTGATATTTTGTGGGAGATTACGTGAGGATGAACTTGACGATTCAGATTTTTGTGGAGATTTTCTAGGGTTTTTGTAGGTGTTGAAATCCTGTTCGTTGTTTGTAGGTGTTGAAATCCTATACGAGTTGAAATCATGTTCGTTATTTGTAGATGTTGATCGATCGTGTAGGAGTTGAAATCTGGTTCATTGTGTTTGATTTGATTTCATGTGGAGTTGAATTAGATAAGTTTTCAATTTTTGATTTGATTTGATCGTGTAGGTGTTGAATTAGGTTTTTGTTTTTAGTTTTGATCAATGTGAGAGAGACGAACTCAGTGTTGTTGTTTTTGATTTTGAAGTTAATTTTTCATTATCTGTTATTGATGAATTTTCGATGGAGTTGATTTTGATTTTTGGAGTTGCTTTTCATTCTCTGTCAACATGGTTATGAGTTGTTTTTTGGTGCTCTGTTTTTCTACGTTTTTGTGCTCTGTTTTTTGTTCACTTTGCATTTTTTGTGTAATGCAGAGAAAATTGCAGGTTTGTTACTATAATTGAACTCAAATCACAAAAAAAATTGTAAGTAGGCAGAGAAATTTACAGATGTAGCAATAGAGTAGTAAGTGTTTTGTTTTGTTTTTTTTTTTTATTTTTTAGCAAAAAAAAAAAAAATAAGTTACCAAAAAAAAAAAATGCTTTTGTATTATTTTCATTTTTGTGTGAAAATAAATTTCAAAATTTGAAAACATCCTAGTGTTTCCTAAAAGTGGATTGTTTTCACAAATTTTTGAAATGGTTTCTATGTTTTTTGGATAATGAAATCGAAACAATACCAAGTAGGGAAGATAATTAAACATGTTTACAGAAAACATTGAACATTTTTTTCCCCCTTTTTTTGTTGTAGAAACGAAAACAAAAATGTTTGGTACATGCGGGTTTCAAAACTTTATTTTAAAAACAAGTGCAAGGAGGTGGCCGAAGGTGGTTGTCGTAGGCTGTTGTTGGAAGTGATGGTCAAAGGTGGGAGGTGGCCGACGGTAGTGATGGCCAGTGGATGGGTGGGAGTAGGAAGTAAGGAATAAAATATTGTTTTCAAAACAAGTGAAAGCAAACTCTTTTTTTTCACAAGTTAGTAGATTGGGTTAATTGTTTATAATTCTTTGGAAATGAAAATAAACACGAAAAAGAGTTTTTGTTTATAATTTTCAAAATTTTTGTAAGTATAAATAGAAATTCAATTCAGTGATGCTACATGCATCAATTGATATATTAATTAGTGTACCAATATATGCTTGGATATTATCACTTCAAAATTATGGACCCAATTATTATACAAATTATAAAGATTCAAAATCTCTAAAATTATGTCGCATCATCTGTTGGTACACTAATTAGTATACTAAATGGGTGGAACTCACTAAATTGAATTTGGTGTGTAAATGTTATTCTATTGTAAGGATATTGATCTTCCTGAACCTTTTTGTGATCTTTCACTGATAAATCCTTCTAATGTGGTAAAAAAATTCGAATATAAATTTTCAACATCCTAGAAGGCAGAGAATGAGGTTCTTTCTAATGTGAAATTTCTCTATTTGTTTGTATGGGACTACAGCTTCATATGCAGGCAGTTCTCTCGGTTTTTCTTGCCACGCTTATCGGATTTGGAGGTGCAATGAGCGGGATTTCTATTCTTCGTGAGTTTTTGAAGTTGTGGAAAAGATGGCGTGCTCGGTCAAATCACCAGCAGGGTTCTCAGGAGGTAACACAGTTGCCTGAATCTGCACATACACCGCAAACAGATACTCAGCCTGTAACTTAAACTGGGGAGGGGTTTGGTCCTCTTACTCAGGTCATTGAAATTTGTTGATTGATTCAAGAAACCTAGTGGTGACCCTAGG